TTTTTTTTTTTTTGCCATTTATTTCACTTTATTTTCTGTTCCTATTCATTCATCCACTTTTCTGCGCTTTCTTTTGTCCACTGATCTTTTCACCTCTTTCCCTAAGCTCATTACCTCATTGTCAATATCACCATAATGATCCATCCACAAATCATCACCACTACTAGCACCAGGATCATTTTGTTCAGTTTCAGCCACTTACTATTTGTTGTCCAAGCAAATTTTAAAAATATGAAATTTCTCAACACCAGCAGTGTTCATAATTTCATGCACTGATGCTTGCGTTTGTGTGTACTTACATCTGTGTATATTGTGGTACGTATAAGCCCTGTTCGCCGCATCTTTTATACAAAATATAAATATTTATGTATGCATGTGTTTGCATGGTGATCTTTAAATAAAAATTTGCCATCAAAGAAAGTAGAATAAAAAAAGAGGAGAAAAACAAGGAAAAACAATGAAAAATAAATAAGGAAGTGTGCCGTAAAAATAAATATGCGAAAAAAAAAAGATTTTTCTCACTGTCTATGGTACACATTCAAAAAAGAGTTATTTTTTTTTCGTTGTCAGTATGAAATCAGTTTAAGTCTATAATAAAGATTGAACCTATCGAATTATTGCTGCTTTATGCACAGCGAAATACGATTTAAAAAAAAAAAAAGTGGGAGAAAGAAGAAATAAATTATCCATTAATACCGTTAATTCATAACAGCCCTGTAGTTTTTACTAGTGAGATTGTTAAAACCACTTAAATAAATGAAAGAAAAGAAGCTCAGTTAAGTTAAACTAAGCAAAGAAAAGAACTTCCGGAAAAAGAAACCTTTACGAAAAATTAAAAGTACTGACATTTATTTTTGATCAGTTGAATTGCAGGGTAAGAGGAAGAGGAAGAGGAAGTAAGGGACCGGATTTCTCACCTTGCTGGGCATCACTGTTCGGTTCAGTTTGAGACTTTTTGTTTAGGCTAACCATTCTCGCAACAAAACAGAAGCTGTTACTGGTTGTTTAGGATCTTCTTTAAGTACTAAAAGTGTGTGTGGAGGAAAAGCTAAACTATAAATTTTTGGCGCACATTGACAACAGTGGCTGAAAGTGGTAAGAGCAGGC